CGGGGCTGTTGACTTTAATTTTGGCAAACGAAACTCCCAAAATGTGTTAGAGCACACGTTCTGGAGCACGATTTCATGATATTTCAATTTGCATAGAAGAGAGAAAAACCTTTGGGAATTATTATTTATTTTTTGACATAATTCGATGAGCAGAACGATCAGCCTCTAGAAAAGAAAGTCCCCAACTTTGCGACCAGGAAATGGAATAATGATGAGGGGAATGAAATAATAACAGCATAAGAAAAAAATTGCTCAAGTGAGTCATTAAGTTGGCAAAAGTGTCGTCTGTCTTTCAGTCTCTCTCTCTCTCTCTCTCTTCCTTTTTTCTCTGTCTCTCGTTCTTCCATTCTCTGTCTGTGTGACTCCCATTGTGGAAGCAGCCATAAAGGAAGCACACTCCATACACACTCTCTTTGCCACTCAAGGGGGCAACCTGGCAAAAACACCTCGGCAAACAACAACTAAAACAAAATAAAATCATCATCAGCCCAGAAAATATCCGTAGCAGAAACTGCAGTTTTTCTGAGTGTGTTTTCTTTGTGTGTGGCAGGGAATTTTAGGTTAGAGCTATAGAGGATTTCCTTTGTTCTTTGCTGCTGAGAGACAAAGAGAATGATGATGTAACTGGGGGGAAGCGAATCATGGAGTGGACGAGAGGATCTTATAAATTCTGCATAATTGTGTATGAGATTTCAGGGAATTTATTTTAATTTATTTCAACGATTTATTTGCCAATGTGTTAAAACAACAGCCAGTAGGAGCAACTCCGATCCCATGAAGGATTCATGTGCATGAATGGAATGGAAAGCAAAAATATATCATAAATTAAGCCGATTAAAAGTATAATGTAAATCTGTGTGTCGAAAAATAAATATCACATAAGAAGTCTGCGGATATAAAACCATGTAAAAATTAGCTAAGAAAATATTAAGAAACTCTATAAAGTACAGTCGGTAAAGAAACGGTTAAGACGCGATGATGAATCAATGGAATGAACTGAATGTGAATCATTTACAGTCGTTGAGATTGTTATAGTCGTTAAATCATAAAAGAATCGGTAACGATTGATCGTTGGAATAGTTAAGAATCCATGGGGTGGCTTCCTCAATGATAATTTGTATGATTATTTGATGAACTTGACGGCTCGTGAATCATTTTGCCTGATTTCTTTTAACCCTGATTCTTGGATAGAATGAAAAAGTTAAACAATTGTTCATAAGTAACACAGTAAAAATGTCTAATGAACCGATCAAAATTGGTATTTGCTATCGGCTGGTAAACCAAATTCAATTGAATTTTGAATAGTTTATAAAAGAACTTCATCTTAAAACACCACAGCACACCACAGCACACCACAGCACACCAAAGCACAGTTCTCTGCTGTTTGTTACTTCCCTTTCACTCTCTGTTCCTTCCCTTTCCTTGCCCTATCTCTTCCTTCCTTCCTGCTCCATCAACTTTCTTACTCTGTTTACTTTGGCAACTTTGGCAGGAAGCAAACTACTGGCAAACACAGCGTTGCCCACCCAAAAATATGCAGACGACAAAGGCAAAGCCACGAGAGAGAAGGCAGGGAGGGGAAGGTTTCTCCAGCAGAAGAAGGAGGAGGAGGAACAGTACCTGTGTGGGGGGGCGTTGTCAACATTGTCAGACAGAAGCTTTTCCACCCGCAAAAACCGAAACCGCAGCAGCATTTACTACTGGGGGGGAAAACTGAAGGAAATGAGAAAGAAAAACGTCAACTAACTACGAGAACTGCGACTGTCAGACAGTGGTCTGGGGTCTGGTGTGGGGTCTGGGGTCTGGTGTGGGGTCTGGGGTCTGGTCTGAGTCGGGGCCTGGGTGTCTAAATTGAGTTGGCATTAGTCAAACCAAACAGAACGCTAGAGGATTGTCTGGAAGAAGCACCACAACTGTGGACTCCACCTCCTACTGCTCCTCCAGTTGAAGAATACTAAATTATAGCCAAGAAATGCTAACAGAGAGGCCCCCAAAGAGACAAAGTTTCTGCCAGCTCTCTTCTTTTTTTGTTTCAAGTATATCAAATGTTTTTTTTTTTTATTTTTCCTCCTTGTTGTCAGATACGATACGTGTGCCGCTTCTCACGCTCCAGCTTTAGTTTTTTTTTCAGAGCAGATGTTGGCAGAAATATTTCTTATATATTCCGCCCCGCCCCAGCAACTTCTGTTGCAACAAGCAGACAGACACAATCGCGTATTCACATGTCAACAATCTATACGTACGAATAAAAAAAGCGAGCTCAAAGTTTCGATATAGAAAACCAATCTATGTATATAGTATTTTTGTGATAGACATCGAAGGGGTGTGTGGGGGGATACCTACCCCAAGGAATTGTCTGGACATTGGAAAAGTCAATAACAATACCGGACAGTCAATGGAAATCGAGTGAGCATGGAATTTGCAACAAAATTTTTATGGGAGCTAAAAAAGGGAATAAAGGCAATCGAAATTTGATCGGGGAATGTAAATGTTTATGGTTTAAGCTTTAAAAAGAAGGATGAAGGATAAAGTACCAGTGGAAATGCTTAAAATGGGAAACCGGTGGGGTATCTACACTTTAGATTCTGAAAAAGCTGCTTGATGGAAAAGTGTGAAATGGGAATGGTTTACTAAGAGTTAGTTAAAGTAAATATTCAAATGACAGTACTGTCAATGTGTCTAGCTATTAAAATAAATGTCACATTTTATAATTTAGAAACCATTTAACATATTATGTCATATTTTAAATCCCCAACAAAATAAATCAAGCATTGCATACATTTTATTTCTCAACAATAAATCTTGTGATAATTTTATGAAAAACACAATAACACTAATACATTATACAGTGAAACCCCTCTGTCGTAATCTCCTATATCTAGACTAGTTTTGAGTCCATGTACTTTCCCAGTAAAAGAATTATTTATGTATTAACTCCCTTGCCAGAGCCTTCACTGTACTTTTTATACCCCTTTTGTTATCTGACAAATCAAAAACAAGCCTTTGCCATTAGATTGACACAAAAAATAAAAATAATTCTCAAGCAAAATATTAGCATTTTGCATATAAATCGATTAATAAGCCAATAATTGAAAAACAGACACCAAAAGTCATCATGAGGTAAAAAAAAAAACATGATCACAAAGGCGAAGCTTTAAATACCCTTGCAGATCCATACATAGTGAACCGAGCCATTGTACCCTTCACTGGAGGGACACTTGTGAAACTTCCCAGTGAATTTAAAATCATCCCAAAATTTGAACTTCCTGCTAATAGAAATGTGGTTGAGCATGAAAGCTGGTTGGTTTTTTTTATTAACAATCGTTTCCATGGAATTAATTACCTATGCAATATGTATATTACTAAGAACCGTATCACAGACAGATGGTCAGGTTTGTTTCTGATCCTGAACAAATTTCTTGCCAAACATCTGCTCAAAAAATCCGCAACCCAATTCAAATCTAAATTTTTAGGGCATCCAAAAACCTAACCAAGTTTTTCTGTTACTTTTGGTAAATCATTCAATCGGATTGTTGGGAGTAAATAAACAGAAAACCACGTACAAAAATGCAGTCCAATAAAAGCAACACTAACGTACAAAAAAAGTAAATAAAAAAACAAAAAACAGAGGGAAAAAAACGTCTAACAAATGTGGAATAATTTGAGTCGTCGCGTCGGGACCGAGAGAGCATAAAACGCAGTCAAACAGTCAAATGCCATTTCCGACTGCAGTCAGACATGAAAAGTCGGACCCCACACCCCACTAGACCTGGACAGGCCCCAAAAAACCGAACAGACTGGCCAGACCGACCCCCGCTCGAGAGCACGTGGCTCCCCAGACGGAAGCCAGTGGCCAACACATCGGAATGGGTGCGGTGCAGTGTGGCAGTGGCAGTGACGGAAGATGGAAGGGGAATAGAGGTGTGTGTATTGCTCACTGGGGGCCTCTGAGGCATAGGCTACCGCTGGAATGGTCTGTTCTACAGTCTGTTCGAAATATCCATAAAGTAAATGAAGTAAGCGGCGTTTTGTAATACCTTGCAAACGTAGAAGTAGAAGAGTTACTGGGTTTGTGTAAGCCATCATCTGTTAGTCCTTAAATTTATAAGATCTTGGAATAAGCCGAAAGATCTTTTAATAATTTCAAAAGTGTTGGAGAATATCGAATAGAAAATAGAAGGGGGAATTTTCATAGTCCTATTTTTTAATATTTAATATTGTTTTAATATTTTATTTTAATATTTAATATTTTTTTAATTTCGTATTTTACTATTTAATATTGTTTTAATATTTTATTTTACTATTTAATATTTATCGACTCAAAAACCCTTAAAAAATCCCTGAAAAAAAACCAATTACAGGGTATTGCTTTGGCCGTAACCACCGTCAAAGTAATTCAACTCGTTTATGTATGTTCTTTGGTATTTTATATAGTTGCATGTTCAACGCAAAGACAGTTTGGAGTATTTTATTTTTTTGGTGGTTGTTGGTTGTTTGTGGGAGTTGCAAAGAAAGACAGAAAAGACACCTGGGGGAGAGACAGAGAGACACCACCAACTGTGTAATTTTTGTAAGTGCAACTCCACATTCCATTTTGGCCGCATCGAAGGTGCGCCCACACACTGCACACACATATCATTGCTAATTTGGATGGATATGCAGAGCTTTCAAGCGATATGGTGGTGCGGTGCGGTGCGGCAGCCACCTGGAACTCCACAAATTGTCTCCACAATGGCACACACGCAATGCATATTTTTATGCAAAGTGGAGCAACCACTGCGGGGGCTGGGCCTGGAAAATCATAAAAAATGACTCTATCGTGTAGGGAAATCTAAAGGAAGTTGTGGAGTTTTAGTATTGATATTTGGAGGATACACCCGGTACTTTAATTAGTAAAAACTGAATTTTAGATATAGTTAGATATGTATAATATCTAAAGCAATTATGTTGAATTTTGGAGACTCTTAAAATAAGTTTAAATTTTTTGGAGTTACTTTCTTTTACAAACTTCCTAGTTTGTCTAAACGTTGGGCGTTTTTCCGACAAGATATGGTTTTACCTCCTCTGTTTTTTTGTGAACTCTTAACTTGAATTTATTTTCTGACTTGTGGTTGATGGAGAACTTTGTTCATTACCTGCAAAGATAACAAAAGACAAGTACAAAATTAATTACAGAAAAAAGCAAATAAACATTCGGGTACAATAGACATCATTAAAGCGCTTAAATATTTGCAAAGAGACAAGAGAGAGATTTCGTAATAATTGCAGGGGGTATACCCCTGTAAGTGTATGTTTTGGTTGAGCATTTTCAGGGTATCCTACTAATACATCTATCTGTATGTGTATCTGTATCTGTGTTTCTGTTCATGTGAATTTAACACACTTTTTGTTAACTCATTCATTCATTCATTCATTCAACCATCCATAAACACTGCCAACAAATTTATGGTTATAAAATCATTTGCTTAAGTAAATGAATAAATAAATGAAGAAATGAGCTAATGATTGATTCTGCATTACATTTTCATGGATGTAATGTATTTCTGTTAATTTTTTATCATTGTAACCAGCTCGTCGACAATTTTTTGGCACTCATCAGTTACCATTGTGTTGCGTAAATTGTATCGGATCATTTTATAAATAGTTAAAACTGCACTTAAACATAAACTAAAGAATGAAATTTCTTTTCATTATACAAAAGGAAAATGGATACATTTACTGCTTTTTTCGAAGTATAACTCAACGAAGCCAATAAAAAAAAAAAATACTTTTAAATAAGCTTTGAGTGTAAGAACTCCGTAAAATTACTTTCAAAAACGTTCTAGCTCTCCACACAACATATTGTTTTTCCTCAAATATTACTTTCTCCATCGAAACCATCATAGAATTTTCTCCTCTCACTCTTTCTATGTTTACAGACGCCCATTCCCAGTCTTTTTCCATGCCCCTCCTCTCAAAAATACTATCCACAAAAGCATAAATTCCCGTCTCTTGTTTAGTTCCCAGACTTCTAACAAGGAAGCCCCCGCCGTCACTTCAAAATGACTTTCAACTTTGACACTGACCTCCGGCAATGCCAAAAACAACAAAACACACAAATATATGTATGTACATATAGGAAAAAACTGTATAAAAAATGCAACTGCACAAAACCCGACGACTCGTTCCATTGAGCACAGCACAGGCACCCCCCTTCCCCCCTTCCCTCCTGCCCGCTGCTGATTCAACGACTTTGACTTTCTAAGGCAATTTTACGTTAGCTTGAGGTTTTTTTTTATGGCTAGAAAGTGGGGTCTGCTTTGTGCCGTCTGTGGATCCGTTCATAGAGTTGTAAAAGCAACAAAAAAAAAAATATATATAGTGAAAAAATTCATAAGCAAAAATCGTTTTGTGGCCATTTAGCGGACCAATCAAATGTGCAACCTGTAAATGTGTCTGAGAGACTGCCACATGCATTATTAATGCCCGTCGACTTGTCCGACAGTTGCAACTGCTGCTGCTGCCGCTTGTGGCAAGGCAGCCGTCGCATTGTTTATAACTGTAATTTGGCACAAAACTTTTCTAACAGAATTTGTGTGGAATTTCAGAAAACTGCACGGGGGGTAGTGTAGGTGGCAGTGCAGAATTGTTACCGAAAAACTACCAAAAGCATCTGGCCAGCTGCAGATAAAAGTCCTTAATTGCATTCCAAAGGCCTGGCAGGATGATGAAGGACACTGGCTTATCATTCTATGCAGCTCTGGCACTATTTATGACACTTTCTAACACACATACATATACACGTATTATTTATAGCATTAGCCAGCACACACACACACACACACATATTAATATTACCTAACACTCTATTCAACGCGTTAGTGGATGGATGTACATTGTACACTCGTATGAGTGGTTTTATTGCCCCATTGAAAGCATAATTTTACACCATACGTATGAAAGCTCAATTAGGTAAAAATATAAAAATTAGCGGAGAAGTGCCACTAAAAATAATAATATCATACTCTGGGAATACTCTACCAAAAGGTGTGGGTAATAGAGCAGCTTTCATCGAAACAAAATAAACAGAATATTAATTATTTTTTTTTTATTATGCATTTTATTTTTATAATTTTTTTTCCATATTTCCCCCAGTAAATCACACCTGCAAGGACTTTTTATAGCACTCCAAATCAAGAGTATTAAATTCAGTATTAAACGCAGTATTAAACGCATTCACCTTGCCACAACGGAAATGTTTAGATTTTGTTACTCATTTCGAAAACGCCAAAACGAATTTATTAAAACATAAATATCTGTAGATATATATTCATAGATGTAACGAATAATATACCGAATGTCGAAGTCAAGGAAAAACTTGAGGGGCAAAAATATTTGATGCGTATAAATAATGATTTTGTATTTGGTAAATAAATTGTCCGATATGGAAGCTAATGCCTATTGGACACGCAAACGCCAGAGCCAGAGCCACACAAAAAACTTTTAGTCTGATTGAACAATATGGCCACATTTTCGTATATTGAAAAGGAATTGGGAGGTGGGAATGAGTGGAGTGGAGTGAAGAGGTAATGAATGGCAGCGTGGATGAGTGTCGGCCAAATGTTGATCATAATATTTGGAGATTGCATAAGGGTGAAAATATGCGATAACTTGAGAAGATAGAAAGGGGAAAAGGAGAAAAGGTAAGACGAGCAAACAAAGAATGATAGAATTATTGAATGTGGCAAATCGATGGGAAAAATGTTCAAGATATAATTTTAGCCAAAGAAAATTAGGCCTTGGAATAGATATTTCCAGATTTTTCAGATCAAAAATCTAAAATGTCCCACTAAGCAGTTGAAAAATTTCGCCTATCGTGTGGGAAAGACCTACGAGTATATTTATGCAGTAGGTGCCAGATACAATAATCCATGGGTTGCAAGAGCAAATCAATTGAACTGAAAGTTCGTCACGTTTGTTCACTTCGAATTGGGGGAATGGGCACGGCACAGATCATCCTACAATAGTCAGTGGATTGGCAAAGATCATAAGCTTTTAGTCAGTGGAAAGATCATTATAGCCATGTGTGCTGGTGTTTCTTTTTCAAAAGACTTTCGAGGGTCGTTTGTTCACTTTTACCGCCACACAAGCAACACCAGTCACAACGACAGTCGATCGGTCGGATCATGAGCTCGCAACGATGACAATGACGGACCGCTAATCATAATTTAAAGCATTACAACAATGCCCCCAAGAAAACGACAAAAAAACAGACAGACAGACAAACACCCAAGGAAAATCGATGAAACGTGCGCTTTATTAATATGTGAAACTGAAAATAATAATGTGATTTTACAAATGACAAAACGACGACAAAAAAAAAAGTTGGAAAAAAAGCGTAACATTAATAAATAAAAAAGTTGTCGACAAGTAAAAGTCAAAAGCGTTGAACGCATTTAACGAGGCGCAACAAAAAACGCCTTTGAGGAGGTGGGTCTATAGGGGGAGAGTGAGGTGAGGGATATCGTGTAATTCCAATGGAGGTTGAATCACAAATTGTATCATACATAAATCGTATGGGTGAGAAAGCTCTAGTGAGCGAATAGATTGGAGATCAAGAAAGTTTATCTTTTCTTATATATATACATAATAAAAGTGAATAAAGATAGATCTCTGTGGAACATTTAACAAGATCAATCTTCGATTGTGGGATGCACTCTATAATAGACTTTCAGCACACAGAAGTATTGGAGCGACCAAGGTGAACTAAATCTAAATCTATGATCTAGAAATGAATGCAAATTTCTATAGGATGTGTCCTGAAGGATTTAAAATCGTACACACATTTAATTACAATTTCTAATATCTAGAATTTAATAACTATTAAATAAAATGCAGCTTTCAGCTTTAATTCCATCATGCTGCACACTTTTATCACCCTCCTGTCAGTCATCAATCTTCAATAGATAGGGTATACGCCCTATTTACTTATATATACCCCTTTACCTACCCATTATATACTCCAAATTCCACAATCCCATCTAGCACTTGTCCATGTCCAATTGGAACTTTCTTTTAAACAGAAAAACCTTAAAAATGTATCTCCAAATTATAATTGATAAAACGACAAACACTCTGCGAGCCGACTTTCGTTTTGGGGATAAGAAAAGTGTTTCGTCTGGTCTGTTGGTCGTTGAGCAAAGGAAAAACTATTTAGTTTACTGGTAATTGCACGGTAATTGCAGTCGAATGGACACGGACAAAATCGCGGGTTAAAGGTGTGCCCCGCCAATTAGCCAAAGCAAAGTGCGATTACTTTCGGGGCCAATAAAATACAGAAAAAAAGCAAAGAAAAAGTGGAAGAAAAAACGTCGCGTGTCTGGCTGAAACTGTGGCACGTGAAACGGCTGCCATTTCCCATCTACATTTAATCTATATCTTTTAATTAAACGAAGGACCGACTCCAATTAATTATACAAATTTTGGTTGGCTGCAATTTACCAATTAAATTGAACTAAAGTGTGGCTAAAGTTTTTCTAGGTGAAGTTTTTCCGAGCAGCCGAGATAATCTTTGAAGGCCTAAATATAGAGCATGCCTGTCGGCACTTGTTTTTCTTTTGGCTTTTCTTCTCTCTCTCTCTCTGTCTCTCTCTCAATCGTTTGAATGAAAGGTAAACAAAAGCAGAGAGAATTGGCCTGGAAAATGGTTGAATTGAAGGGCAAACATTTTCGGAAAAATTCTATTTATGGAAAACTTTCAAGCAACTTAAAAAATACTTTTTTAACTTTAAAGAATTTTTCGTATTTCAATTTTTGGTATCTATTAATTGTATACCTTAAGGGTATATTGATCAGGACAGTCAGAATATTTTATTGCAGAGAATTTTTTTGAATTTCAATAGATTTAATAAACATTTAAATACCTTCACGATTCTTAGTCTTGATTTGAATTAATTTTGAATATTTTATGGGATATTTTTACTGGGCTTTCGACTTTGACTTCCCGCTCTTTCTTCGATCTTTTATGATGTTTATGGTGATGAGTTTTCTTCTTTTTTTTAGTGGGTTCCTCCTCCTCCCTCTCCTCCTCGTCATCGGATAGACATGCCATCTTGGCCAATGCCGCTGGACCGGAGAATTCCATTTGCTGATTTTCAGTGTTAATGGGATGGCTCCTTTTAGCGCCCGTCCGTTTTGATGACAATTTCGCTGTGATTTCGCCCAACTGCGTTTGCAGGCTGTCCGTCATGAGCTTCTGGTCATCGGCAGTCATTAATTGCGGCAATTGAAACTGCTGGCTGCGCCTGCTCAGAAACAGAGCCTCCTTTATCAGGGATATAACTTGGGGGGAGAATTTCGTTATGTTAAATTCCACTTTGCCGTTCTTAATAGTGGCTGGCATATTATTTTGCACCACTATATGCATGACAATCTGTAGCTCATACGATGTCAAATCATCGACGCCTCTGTCCCACATCTTGCAGTTGTCTTCAAATTGCGCTGTGCTGGTGTCATCAGGATCAGCATCATCGATGGGTTGTTCCGGTGCCTGAAGGTAGTAATTCAGCTGCTCTTTGCCCAGGATTTTGGTGATTGTACGCAATGATTCATCCTCTTCATTGGGCTCTGCTTCAAGATCTATAGGATCATCCACAGGCTCGATCACATTCATCCAGTTGGGTTCCATAGGCTCTGCTTGCACTGGCATTGGGTGATCATGGACAGGCTCTGTTATCACAGAAGCCCGGACAGGCTCCATGGGCAGCATTGGATTATCTATGGGCTCTGTTATATATTCAACCTCATCCACAGGCTCGATTTTTATACGCATAGGAACATGTTTCAAAGCCACAGGTTCTCCTTTCACAGCCACAGGCACAGCTTTTCCACGCGCAGGAACAATTTTCACAGCCACAGGCTCTTTTTTCACACGCCCAGGCACAGTTTTCACAGCCACAGGCTCTCTTTTCACAACCACAGGTTCTCTTTTCACAGCCACAGGCACAGCTTTCCCACGCGCAGGAACAATTTTCTCATTTACAGTCTCTTTTTTATTTGGATTAAATGTTGGATGATGTGTCATTGGCTCTGTACTATTTATCTGCAGCCAGGGAAAATCCTGGATGGACTTGACCGTCATCCTGGGATCCTTATTGAGCTCAAACTCAGCGCCACATGGCATTTGCCCCAGCTTGTTTTCCACGAATTTCTGCAATTGATTGCCAGGGCGGCAAAGGGCTGTATTTGGCGTCTTTAACGCTATCCAATTCTGATAGACAAGCCTCAGATCCACTATTGCTTCATTTGCATTTCGATAGAGTCGATTCTGCACCCGAGTGATGATTGTGCCCAGGTCCATGTGCCTTTTGATTAGCTGATAGTCCGGGTCGCGCTCGTTCATGGGTCGCATGAAAACTTGTGCATATTGCTTCTTTGTCAGCTCTTCGAGTATCTTTTTTTTTATATAGTGTATCTTATTTGTGTATTGACCATGCGAAGGAGCCTACAAAACGACGGTGTGGTGTGGGTGCGTGTGTGGGGGGACACGTATTAAATGCAACTTTACCCACAAAAAGTAGAATCTTACCATTGTTAAGGCTTGTCAATTTGACTAATTATATTAAAGTTGATAGCCAAATAGAGTAACGCAGAATAAAATTAATCTGAGCAAAGAAATTTTTTGTTTTTTTAGCTACCAAATCTTTTTTTTCACTTTTCACAACTTTTTAATTTCTTCGATTGAGCACATAAAAAATTCTGACTCTGTCATGATATGCTAGAGATGCGAAAGCATCGATTTGTGTTGCCAATGCAACACGACACAAAACACGATTAATTCTTTTCCAACACTAGCACACAACGACTGTGGAAAAAGCGTTTTTAACACTGCAAAACTCGACGGATAAAAACGGATAAATCGTTTCCATCGCTATCTAATGTTTAATTTCGTGCTGCATAGCCCAACAGAAACAATAAATCTAAATAGGCTACAGGGTGTGCCTCCAGTTTGCATTCTTTATAAATATTTTTTTAATTTTTTGCACACATTTTTGTGCTTCAACTGCTGAAATTATGTTTAACCTTTCACACTCTACATATTTTGAACCCCAAAAACAAAGTTCAATAAACCCCCCAACCAAAAATCGAGTTACATTTTTCTGTTTTACTTCCGCTGTTTTTCTCATCTTTCATTTCCATTGCCATGGCAAGTGGCTATCACTCGTCGTTGTTTGGCGTAACAAGAAAACAAAGCAACCCACAAATGGAAATGGAAGGAGTTCAGCAACAACAATGCGGACGGAGGGAGAAACTAACCATATAGCTTTGACCTCTAGTTAAATTAGTGAACAATAGCGAAAGAGATATAAAAAACAAACAAAGAGTGAGTGAGAGAGTGAGAGAGAGAAAGAGACAGACAGCGGAGGAAACCCCGTTCCAATTCATTTGGCAAGAACAAATACAAATGCAGCAACAAATACAACAAAAAGAGGGGAAGCAAATGCCATTCAATAAATTCGACAATTTTTACAGTTAGTAGTTTTTATGTTCTGACATCATAACCCAAACATACAAAAAAAACCCCTTCCCCTAACCCTTCTTTTCAGTTCTCTCCTGAAAACAAAAGACTTTTGAATCTGACATTCATTCTGCTCTATTTAGTATCTTTAGTTCTTTAGTTTAACTTTAACTGGCTAACGAGGCATCCTAAGATCCTAAGAGATTTAGAGAAGAGAAAACTATTTGGAGGTACTTGTAGAACGTCGAAAGTCGACGATTCACTGTAGAAGTTTATTCTAACCCAGCGGAAACAGTGCTTATTTACATAACTTTTTTAGTATAATAATGCAATAAAAAAACGCACATAAAAATTAACCAATTTGATTAGAAAATGTATTGAAATGTTGCATAAAATTAGATTTTAAAATGGCAGTAAAATGAAATATTATTAATGTGCTAATAGTTCAATTTTGTTAGTGGACATGCCCCTCCAATTTACTTTCTTTTTTCTGTGCATATCTGATAGATACTCATGATTTGAAATAGTTATAAAATTATGGTTTTGTCGCTATCTTATCTCTCTCTCTCCCGCTGTCTGTGGCTGTAGCTCTGTCTGTGGGCTGTGACCTAGCTGTCTTTGTCTGTCTATCTTTCTACGGACAATAGACACGCGCTTCACACACACACGCATAGCTACACTCATACACACTTTTGGTACTCGTACAGCCACTCATCGTGTCAATTGTGCTGACCATGGCCAAAAGTCAATGCATTTTCGATATTCAATCATATTTGCTGACCCTCACAGATTTTTATTTATCCAACTATTATTATTTTTTATTTTTTTTGCAATTACTTTATACCGCCCCCTTCTATTCTCTCAGCCATTTAGCTGTGAGCTGTCTTTCGTTTTTGTTTGCTATCATTTTTTCCTTAAGAGCTTTTCGCTTAATTAGATTTTTTTTTCTGTTTTCTTATTGATTTTTGCTTGCGATTTTCTGTTTAGTTTGTTTTTCTTTTTCTGAGCTATTTTCCCTATTTATGTGGTTTTTTTTCCTTTTGGGATTCCGTTGAAGAGCAGGCAAAAGACGAAGGAAAATAAACACTCCCACCGCAAATTGTAGGCACGGCACACAAAAATAAATGGCCACAAAATTTGGCATTCGATTGGGTTTTCAAAAAGCATAGATATAGGGCCTTGATCCTCGGTCAATTTGGCCTAATTTTATAGAAATTTTAGCTTGAAGTTTCTCTGCAAAGAAAATCGTTAATTAATTATTAAATTTCTATTCAATATTCGAGTCTTTATAGTCACGTCGTGTGCTTCGAAAGAAATTACTAATTCCATTAATTTTCCCATTTGTCCAATACAAAACTTTAATTCATTATTTAATACTCATTTTCATTTGATCGTTCATTAAAAATGCAATTTTAAATTTCTGTGTGTTTCTTAATGATTTATTTGGTATATTTTTTGACAGCCTTAAGCTGCCTAGAAAACACTCGAGTACTTACTTTTGTTTTCGTCTCTTGTTATTTTTAAATGTATTTTAGTTCTTTTTTAGCCACTTGTCGCATCACTTTCGCTTTGTTTTTATAGCATTACGTCTTTTGGCTTATCTTTTGCCAATTTTTATTTGATTTTATTTTTTTTGGTGTTTTTTGTTTTGTTTTGTTTTGTTTTTGTACTGTTTTAATTTTGGGCGGGTGAGTAATATAATTGCTTGGTTTATTTTTTGAGATATTTTTTTTTGCAGGTTTCTGGTTTTTAACATACATTTATTTATAAATTTTAGTCTCCTGTCTTTGGGAGAGAGAAAGACAATGGAGTAGTCACAGATATGAAGGCCCAGAGTCTTGGATGTAACACGGATGTCACGTCTGGTGTAACCCCAGGCAATCGCCATGATTTACTTTGAATTGAGATTTAGTTTGCGATAAAAAAACTGAATTAAGAGAAGAATACTTGCACAATTAATACCGTGCACTGCCGTGTACTCAATTTTCGTACAAAATATATTACAAAATTTATTGCAGCCAGCACACACAGGAGACAAGCCTGAGCAAGCCTCGCATTTTCATAGTCTACTGCCAGAGTTGTGTGTGTGTTTAGAGTTGAATACGATTTTTCTTTCTTTAAATGCACGTTCTGGAAAGTGTTCAATATAGCTTTTTCATCTCTGTCATCATGACAGAGTCAGTATTTTTTCAGTGCACAATCGAAAATCTTGCAAAGTGGTGAAACGTTTGAAAGAAAAAAGTTTGGTCGCCACAAAACGAAGATTTCCCCTACTAAGATTCTGCATTTTATTCTGCACTACTCTATTTTACAATCAACTAACATAATCAAATAAAATCAAATATAAAACATTAACAATGGTAAGAATTTGCTTTTTATGCGTAAAGCTAATACGATTAAACACGTGTCCGCCCCACACACACACACCACACCGTCGTTTTGTAGGCTCCTTCGCATGGTCAATACACAAATAAGATACACTATATAAAAAAATGGATTCTCGAAGAGCTAACAACGAAGCAATATGCACAAGTTTTCATGCGACCCATGGACGAGCGCGACCCGGACTATCAGCTCATCCAAAGGCACATGGACCTGGGCACAATCATCACTCGGGTGCAGAATCGACTCTATCGAGATTCAAATGAATTAATTGTGGATCTGAGACTCGTCTATCAGAATTGGTTAGCGTTGAAGACGCCAACTACACTCCTGTGCCGGCCTGGCATTCAATTGCAGAAATTCGTGGAAAAAAAGCTGAGACAAATGCCATATGGCCCTGAGTTTGAGCTTCATAAGGATCCCAGGATGACGGCCAGCTCCATCAAGGATTTTCCGTGGCTGCAGTTAAATAGCCCAGATCAGCAATCTCCCGCTTCGAGGGATGCTAATGCCCAAAATACCAAAAGGTGCCACAGCGTCAGTGGCAACGATGAAGACTCCGACGGTCCATCAACCTCTAAAATGATGCGACGCTGCAGCAATAGCTCCAACTCCGATTCTGTTGCCGTGTGCAATATCAACTATGTGGCCGAATCGGCATCTGTGGAGAACAACAACAACCTGCAACTTAATTCCACCGCCATGCAATCGGATTTGCCACATTTAGCTGCCCCTGACATCAGCTCCTCTTCGAGTTCCAGCTCAAGTTCCTCCTCTGGATCGAGCTCCTCCTCTGGATCGAGCTCCAGCTCTTCTTCGAGCTCCAGCTCCTCTTCGGGCTCCAGCTCCTCTTCAAGCTCCAGCTCGGAGACTGATTCGGACTCGGATTCCGATTGAAATCATTAACCAATTCCGAATGTTGATGCTGCAACCCATCGATCCCACAATAAATGTACACAAATAATACATTCTTAATTATGAAATTCAAAACTGTTCGCTCAGGTGAGTAAATCTAAGAGATATATATACTAAAATCTAGCTACACGCTACTGAAAATTTGAACTATCTTTTATATTGTTTCCAGCTCCAACTCTGTATTCTCCAGCCTTCTCCAGCTCTTCAATGCATTAAAATTCAAGTTCCTACTAAAAACACTACTAAAATATTCCTTCGGGTGATTAAATTCACCCCGATTACCAATCGATAACCAATACAATTCACAAATATTTTAATCTATTTTAAAATATGTTAAAATAAACATTGTGCCCCTAGTTTTTCTTCGCTTGATTTTTATTTAATTTTCTTTAGATTTATGTATTAAAATGTATTCCGAAAGCTGACAAAACGGCATTACAAAATATTATCTCTTTATTAGACAATTAATAACCTATTTATGATTAGTTTCTTTTAATTTTATATTTTAATCAATTTCAGTGCTAACTTCCTTGACAAATGTCGTATTTTTGCTGTTCATCAAAGGATTGGGGAGGCCATAAAATATAATTATTGCCAGTTTGTTTCGGTCTGGCAGTTGGCCAAAAGCAATAATATCCGCCAGCAGAAGAGACAGCAAGTGGCACAAGCTGTTGCAACGTTTCCCTCCCATCCTGCAGGGTTCTCCAGGGGTTCTTCCTTTTTCCGCTTCCCCGCCAGACACAAGTTTTATGGACAGACAACAGCGAGGAGACGCATAAACATTGTTACTGACTTTTTCACTAAAAGTATAAATTTTCTTTAAAAAAGTTGTACAACAAAAATAGGAGCAAGTTTTAGCCAGTTGTGTGTGTGCAGTGGAGACTGCATAATACTTCCTCTCGAAGACTTTGGCACCACAAACCATTTGTCAGTCGATGGCCAAAGCCAAAGCCAACTGCGGACTATAAAAATTCCAATTCCAACTAATGGTTTATGACGTCCAAAGAGTGGAAAAAGAGAGGGTTTGACAGCCAAACGGTGGCAAAAGAAAGGGTATTCCATCCACAGAGTGGACAGAAAGCGATTGAGGAATGTCTTTAATCATCAGAGGAATCACAGGGGAGGAGTGGCGAAACAGGAGTAAAAACTTGTAATCCTCGGATGCGATTTTCCACCGTCAATTAAGATGTTCGTTAATAGTTCGTTAGTTGAGTAAATAAACTAAAGTTAAACGATTTCTTTAAGGCATTTAAGAGGGAGTATGGGGGGACTGACAACCTTTAATGGAATGCGCCATGACGAGGCTGTAAACATGAGTTGGCAGCTCTTTTGACTCTCCTTGAAGTGCCTCTCCACCTCTTTCTGTGGAGCAGCCGCTTCATAAGTTGTTGGTAATTTGTAAGAAAAAATGTTGATTGTTGGTTTTGATTTTGAAAGCAATTTAAGTTCTATAATAAGGGGGATAATAAGGATAAAAGTTTAGTATAATTATGGATTAGTAAACAGTCGCAAACAGTTCATATGTATGTATCCCTTTGCTGTACTAATTTCCCATAAACGAACGGAGACATATTTTTCAAATTTGTTAACCAAATTCTTAAGTTATTTTTTCTATATTTTATGAAAGATAATCTACTGATTTTTCAACTTATTTCCACACATTTGGAAGTACATAAATTAAATTTTTTTTCTCCCACATAAAAGACTTGTTCCCCCCTACCAGAGAAAATACCTTTAAAGCCGTTGGAATAATGTTAGACAGTTTTTTGCTATAAATTCAAGCAGAGAAAATTCTAATTAAACTACGGATACAATGCGATTTCCACTCATTAGAAGCGAAGCCTCAAAGAGCGGCGGCATAAAAAACAATGGGATTGAAAAGAATGTGAGAAATGCTTAGAGAACAGAAGGAACATAAGTAGGAACGAACCCCTAGGGAGAAAGAGGTAGAGGAATCGAAGGAGATGTTTGTTTGCCTCTGCATAAACATAAACATGGGAGATGGAGGAGGTCTCTCTCTCTCTCTACCATTCTCCCAGGGATAGAAAGGCAGCGAATGAGGCTAAGAGAGGAAGAAGGTAGCAGAGAAAAAGAGGGAAGCATGAGCCAGACCTAAAGAGAGTGAGAGAGAGGGAGTACGGAGTACATGTCTTATCGAATCGGGTTTGCCATTAACTATAGGAAACTGCATTCCAGTCATACCTCAAGTAGTAGTACTCTTCTCTCTCTCACTCGTTCTACCTTTTCCTGTACCACATCTTCCTTCTTCTCTTTCGCATCTTCTACTTCTTCTGCCACATGCCACACTTCCAGTTCCACTTCCCACCCTTCCTAAATGTCTTCCCGTTGAGGAAGCGCCGCCAAGAGTTACATGATATCAATAAAAGTGCACAGGGTTGCCGGTCCCGCAGATAAACTTCAAGTGCAAACACAGAAGGCCACAAGAGAAGTGGGCAGAAGAGGACAAAAAAGAGCATTGAGAGATAGCTTTTGGAGTAGGCGCAGCTTTAAATACACTAAAATATCGATCGTATCTGTATGATATCTGCATTTGATGTAGATCAAATGTTTCGAAACTTTAGAAATGCATATAAAAATACTCTCCAACGTTGGTTCTATTATTTTGTATTATTTTTTTATTATGAAAATAAATAATATTTGCTAACAAATAAAAACAATGATGTTTCCCATTCATACTCTACCTTCAAATAAAATAAGTTCCTTATTAAAGTTTTCTATAGATACTATTGGTTGAACTACAAATTTACTCTTAAATATATATAAAATATTATTTTTAAATATATTAATATATATATTATACATATATTAAGTATATTTTATTAAACCCCTTTGAAAGTGTATCAAAAAGGTTTGCACAACACACAGCAACAGCAACAGCAGCCAGAATGAACAACAAGTGGAATGGGGCAGGCAGCAGCAGCAAAAATGTTGCACCTTTGTTGGCTGCTGCCTGGATGTCGTGCCATGTGGCTTAATGGATATGCAACGCATATGGCAAATTATCCAAAAAATGTTTACAAGGACGAAAGGGGAGAGAGAGAGCAGTTGGAGTGCTAGTGCTACACTGAAGATGGAGCCCAGACACATTCCATTTCTCCCAAAGGGATCCCTTTTATTTCACTTCTGTTGCTCGTTTCTTTTCCTTACTTTCCGCCGTAGCCTTCCTTTGGCAAATTTACAGTTGCATTTGGAATGCATTTGGGATTTTCTTTCGGTTGTGTTTCTTCGTTAACTTGCAAAGGTGAAGGCTGTCTGTGGCTACTCCTTAGGAAACATTTTTTGAAGAGAACTAAAGACAAATGAGCGAAGATATCTGCTTTCAGTTTGGGTTAGTTCCTCCATCTCTTACATCATCCCATTCTTACATCAGACACACTCTTTTCTGTCTCTTTGCCTTTTTGAAGCATTCCAAACATTGAACGCTAATCAGACAGCCACACAGACTCTTCCAATTAGGCCACAAAACGCAACAGAATAATGGTTAATAGACGCAGAGAAGAGTTAAATGTTCCCGCAGCTGGCAGCGGCTAAGATAAAACAGCGATACGAAGAGCAGAGAATGCAATAAAGAAGGATGATAAAGAAGAAAAACAAAAATTTCTTGCATATCGCTTCCAGCCATGAGATACTACGTGAGCCGAGCCTCTTGGCCACGAGTATATGGACAGGGGTAGGGAGAGTGGGAGCCATTGCGGTGCCGCATGTCCCCCAAATGACATTGGCATTTGCATGAGAGAGAGAGAGTGGAGGAGGAGTATAGGATCCTCCTCCTTCTTTAGATAAATTGTGAAATCAACTGCGAGACCGCGAAACGAGTTGAATTCCAAAATCTAGCAAATGGAAAAGGAACCAGGGAGAGCCAGAGTAAGAGTGAGACGCAGAGAAAACGAAGAAGGAAGACAGACAAACACGGACACCTGTCGCCAGGTAAAAAGAACGCAGCCGGTAAATGTCTTAGTCAGCAAAAAGTGAGGAGGAGTAAAGCAAAGCAAGTAAGAGGAAGAGTAAAGAACAAAGTAAATCAAAGAAGAGCAAAACAAAGCAAAGCAAATAAGAGGAAAATACTGTCAAGAAAAGGAATATAAAGCAAAGCAAGCAGAAGCGAGGAAAAAACAAAGCAAAGTAAATTCAAACAGAACAAAACAGCAGCGAAAAACACACTCACACATACACTCACACACGCACAGAACAAATCAGGTAAAAATTCTGGAAAAAGGCAAGAAAAGCCAACAAAACAGACGAGGAAATCTTTGAGAGACAGAATCAGAGCTAGAAATAGAGAGACAGACAGATAGGCAGAGAGAAAATTAATCAAAATTCACCTGTCACCTTGCATTCCCACTCCCTCTCTTAAGCTCCCCCTCTCTGGCGCTCTCTCTTCCTCTTAAGCGGCTTTGACATCTGATCGTGAGTCTTTGGTTTCATGCTTATACCCTGCACAAAGCGGGACATATGTATTTGTACGATAAGAAGGTGCAAGCCAATGGGGAATCAACCAGATGAAAGTAGTGTGTCCCTCAAGTTCTTGTAGGGTATCCATTCGTTCCACACATATTTCTCTCTCTCCCTCTATTTTCCCATTCACAGATTTGTGTTGTTTCTATACTCTCACGCTCTCTTATCTGTGTGTGTGTGTGTGTTTTTCCTTTGGCAATTTATTTTTAACCCTTGGGTAACTTTAATGGAGCTTAAAAAGTGACCGCCGTTTCTCGGCTTAGCAGCCTCACAAATAAAAATACGAGAAACAAAATATATCGCAAGAAACAAAAAAAAAACCTTAACAAATTAGTCATTGTGATTAATGAGAGCAAGCGAGAAGGAGAGGATGAGGAGTAGCTGCTGCGACTGCTATATGTCTCTTTTTGTGTTTTTGGTGCCACCTCTGCCTCTGCCTCTGCCTCATCCTCTACCCTGTCTCCCTTTACCATGGACCCCCTTTCTCAGACGTGTTCAAGTTGCGTTTGATTTATTTCGTGTGAGCTTTTTTCAAAAAAGATTATAGGTGTCTGTGGCAGTGGTAGGAGCATGAAGGGGGAGGTATGGGCATGCCTTGTGCAACACTGCATTTATCTAGATCACTCGACCGTATAAGGGGGGGTGGGCAGGAGGAGGATGAGCGCTGCTGTTGCATCTCAGATGTTAAAAGCATGTGTTTTTTTTTTTGGGGTCAAGTTCAACAGTTTTATTCATCAAAAACTTTAAGAAAAACACCAAAGAAATGCTTTTTTCGGTAACTAAATTTTGTTTGAAGTTTTTTTTTCATATAGATCTTTAATTTTATATATTATTTAGTCGTTTGATTTTTATATTCCTCAACTGATTTATTGATTTTCATAGGAAA